TCCCTGCCTTTCTGGCCCTAGGTTGATTGCTGGAAAGCACTTGACACTCATCAGAAATCCAAGGCTGGCAGAAGAGCAGTCCAGCTTCCCATGGAGGTTACCAGTACCTCTCCATCACRCTGATAAGACCTGAGATTCCCAAGCAAGCGGGAAGGTGAGTGCCTCCTGCCCACCAGGGCAGTCTTCTGTGCGCTAATTACAACTGGAAAACATTAGAAGGTGTCTTTGTTCCATATTTGGATGAGTCCAGCAGAAAGAACCAGACACATTTGTATCACTACTCTGTGAGCTGGAATGTGAAGGAGAGACCAGACACACGGTTTGGCTTCCTGTAGCCACGGCCTCTGAATTCTTACAGTGGACTTTGCAAGAAGAAGTTGTGCTGGCTCTTCCCATAGGACTAAAGGAGARAGTGTGTGTGTCCACAACTGCTGCCAACACCCAGAATGAGCTTTCTTAACAACCAAAAATAACAGCCAAGATCAAGGACACTCCCACTGTGCTCCAGCTTCTGTGAGCAGCAGCAAAGGATAATCCACATCCCACAGGAAGGAATCCCATCCCCACTCAGGCTTGGGGAAGATCTGTAGTTTGTGAGAATGTCAGATGTCATCTCAAAATTTAGRTCACTCCAGATGTCTTCTAAAGCCCTGACTGGGAAGAATGTTTCCAAAAAAGGAGCACCAGGTGCYGCCTCACAGGAAAACAGCACAAGTTGAGCAAGTTTTATTGTTCTATTCCTGCTAAAAAAGAAAACACCCCCTCAGCTGGTTTTCAAGTTTTCCAATAGGCCCTCCGAGTCTACCTTTACTGTGTCAGTTTTTAAATGAAAGTTTAAAACAACCAAACAAAAACTCCACACCAAGAATGAAGGTTGAGCTGAGCATTCAGGAATGCCCAGGCCATATTTTCAGTAGCTAAAATGATTGACAAAGAGTGCAAGTTGAAACCAAGCTAGTTTTAAAGAGCAACAATCACTACCTCCTGCATCCCAATATCTAATCTGATAGAGTTTTGCCTCCAAGGGGAAAAAAAAAAAAAAAAAAGAGAGAAAGAAAAGGAAACCACAAAAATTCTGTCCTCTGGCAGGGACTCAGTGGTTTATTCTCGCTTTCCCTTATCTTATTTCAGAATGAAATGAGCTGGAAATCCTGCACCAGTGTAGAGGAGATTATTAAAATTAACATGGACACCTACAGGCTCTGAGCCCACAGAGAAGCTCCCAGGCATGGAATGGGAACTGCTGTCCTGAGTTGCCCTACACATCAGAGCCCCCTGGCTGCTCGAGGGGGCTGGGACAGCTGCATGGTGCTCTCTTTCTGTTCCTGTTCAGCACATCCCACACCTGTTCATGCATTCCCTCCCAGCCCCAGGAGTGCAAATCCTGGTGCCTGTTCTGTTTTGTGCCTCTGAGCCCCTGCCTGGCTGCAGRAGCTGCAGAAGTTGGAGGGAAAGACACTTCTGTCACACACCACCTTCATTGACTGTGGGAGAATTCCTGGGATAATATCCTGGGAGAGACATGGAAGAATTCCCTCACAGAACYGATGGTTTTGAGCAGCCATGGGAGTGAACACACCAAGTGTTACCACAGGCTGGACAGCCCTGCTTTTTAATGCTCACACAGGTATAAACACCTGTTACCTGAGAATCCAGAACTTGTGGAATGTCCAAGTAAAACCCCACAACACTCCTGCCCGATTGGAAGCATTTTCAGAGTTACCCCAGGGTACATTAACCTGTATTTTATAAATTCCAGCAGAACTCCTTCCTCCACCTGCAGGCAAGAGGAAACCACTCTGATGTTGGTGTCTGCCCTTAGAYCTGGGGACKGGAGACATTGAGAGAYAACAGAAGGAGCAAGGGAGAAGAGGGATCCCAATTAGCAAAAAGCAGCTGAGAAGAATGATCAAGAATGATTAATAATGCACCTTTCTAACCAGCAAAATGGAYGTAATGAGGGAAAAACAAGTCCACCAAAACCAAGAGCAGAATGGAAAGGAGGGAATCTAAAGCTCCTGTTCTTTACTAGTTCTTCTCATGAGTGTCCAGATGAACCTGCTGTTCCACAATACCCGTCTCCAGAGAGGTCACAATGTCCTGCAGAATCCAGGAAGAGACCATGCTAAGCCCTAATTTGCAGCCTACCTTGCTTAAGGGAGTACAGGGCTGCACAATCAGGGCCTGCCGAGTGATGGGTACTAGGAGACAGGGGAGATGCTCTCCCACAGCTGGGAAGAAGATCCACACTGCCAGCTACCACAAGGATGGGTTGAAAAACCTGCTATTTTGCCCAGTGGATGCTTTCATCTTTTGGAGCAGGGAAGAGCCACCGGCTGGCAGCAACAGACAAGTTCTAAAACTAAACAAAAAAATGAAACATCTAAATAAAATAAAATGACTAAAACATTCCCCTGAAAGCACGAGGGTTTAGAGAGAACCACTCAGCCTCATGAGTGCCTGTTGGTCTTCCCCTCAGCTGTCACCTTCTTGGAGACTGGAGACATTGAGAGACAACAGAAGGAGCAAGGGAGAAGAGGGATCCCAATTAGCAAAAAGCAGTTGAGAAGAACGATGAAGAATGATTAATAATGGAGGTGAACASGTTTTGAGAGTGAACAGCAACTGCCCCATGTGCCCGAGCTGGCTCTCCACAACCACCATCGCACGCTGGGTCAGGCCAACCAAAGCCACCTCGGTGCAGGGTGACCAAATCCCATCAAGCTTCCTAAAAAGACAGCTTCTCCATCTCAGCCAACATGGAAAGCTGTTTCCTGGCTAAAGATGGTAAAGATCTCCCTTTGTCACCAAGTCCTGCTCACTTTATGCCAAGCAGAGCATAAATGGGCTGTGTCTCTTCCAGCCCGTTTGCCGAAGGCAGCCTGGACAGTGTAGAAGCCACGGGCTCCCGGAGCTGCCGGCCMGGGACGGTTCGGACGGGGATCCCAGGGATTCGCACGGGGTCCCACGGTCCCGCAGCGCTGAGCGATGCCGTGCCGCTCGCAGGGGAGAGCCGCGGGGTCTGACCGCCACATCCCGGGCCGTAGGGGCTATCCCAGGGGCTGGGGCACTCCCGGGCCGACGGAGTGGCGGTGGCGAACGAGCCCGGAGAGCGGCTCTGACCCTCGGTACTTGGTCTCTTGCCCTCCCGCAGCCCCGTAACCRCACAAGCCCCCGCACAAGCTCGCCGTCCCGCGGCGTTCCCGGGCTGTCTCACCTCGGAGTAGACGAAGAGGGGCAGGACGAGGAGGGCGAGCAGCAGATCGGCCACGGCGAGGCTGACGATGAARTAGTTGGTGGTGGTCTTGAGCGCCCGCTCCGTGCAGACGCTCAGGCAGACGAGCCCGTTGCCGCCGACGATGAGGAGGATGAGGAGGATGCCGAGCACCAGGGCGGCGATGCTGTGGCCGGGCGCGCCGGGCGGGGGTCCGGCGGTGCCGTTGCCCATGGCCCCGCGGCGCTGCCCCGCAAAGGAGCCGGGCCGGCCGCCGGGAGCTGCCCGCCGAGCCGCGGGAGGAGCCTCTGCCGCCGCCCCGCCCGGCTCCGGCCCCGGCGCCGCGGGCACAACTGGGTCACCAAGCGGCTTAAGGGGTGGCGGGGGTGGCAGTCTCCCCGTGTCCCGGCTCCCGGTGTCCCGGTGTCCCGTCCCCCGCCCAGCCCCGCGGAACTCTTGCTGTGTTCTCACGTGGGGTTGTTCTATTAGGCAATGTTAGGGGAAAGAATTGCAATAAGTACAGATGGGTGAATAACTGGGAAATTGTATTCCAAGGTGTGTGTAGAATCTGGTAATGTTTAGGAGTTTGTAATTAACCTGAGTGAGGATCCAGACAGTCCATAATGAAATTTGAAGGTACTGCCAAGACAGGATGCTGCGAGAGTCTTGGAGCACAGAGGAGGGATTCAAAATGTTCAGGATAAGYTGGCAAATGCAGGATGCACTTCAGAAAGGATTTTTTTTCACCTTACTCATGCTTGGGCAGGAATAACCAACTGTAGAAATGCAGAATAGAGGAAAAAACCCAGATAGACAGCAAGTGTGGGAACAAAATAGGATGGCAGGTCATGAGTTGAACACGGGGGCTGGGGTGTCTTACTGCAGAAAATGAGAGAAAAAATGCTCTTTGAAGAGTTCCTRTGCACTGCAGAGTCAGGAAGGACAGGGAGGTGTGACCTCCCATTTCTAGCCCAGATGACTTGGGCAATGTGGGAGCTGATCCAGAGTCTGTGAGCATCTCTCCAGCTGTGCCACCAAACCTCAGCCCGTATGTTAATGCCAGGTGAATATTCAGGTCAGCCTGGTACTTGTGGAAGGYAGTGGGAAGGGAAGGCATGGCAGTAAAGGGACATTTATACTGCATGAAGAAAATTACATTATTGGAAGCTTTTTATGACGCAAGGTGCTTCTAAGATCTGTTTATCTGGCTGCAGCTACCAGAGCTTCATCCAAACTATTGAGACTTGTGGGAGAAATCCTCTCTCCAAACCCTGCCCTTGCTGCCCCAATTTCCTAACTCTTTTTTGGAAAGGGTCATGGCTACCCCTCAGCAKGTGTAGCCAGGAAAGGTCACAGCCCTGGTGGCAGCCACGGAACACAGTTTAGGATTAAGACCCTGTTAGTCTGGAAKATRGGCTTCCACGTATGAAATGCATTAATGAAACTGTGTGGACAAAATGCTCTTTATTAATTTATGTTTAAACTACTGAGCAGCCAAGAGAGCAGGATGGAAATGTGGCTGCTGTCCTCCTGCCTTCCCACAGGGATTAGTTTCTCTAATCTCTTTTAACAGTTAATTTACRTTCACTATCTCCATTTTCTCTGTGGGTTAGTGCTGAATGACTCTTAATTCTCAGTGTGGAAGCCCATATTCCAGACTAACAGGGYCTTAATCCTAAACTATCCTGGAGCGGATTAAACTAATGTGAAATAAGGCTTTTATCTTGCAAAAATGAGTAGCCACGAGAAGTACTAATGAGGACAGTGCTTCCATGGCAATCAGGCTATGGCCATTGCACACAATTCCTTTCTTGGGTRAGGGGAACTGCCCTCCTAGCAGAGGAGGAGGAAAGTCTGTCATGCACTGTCATGTCCAAAGCAGTCATGTCATGTCACTGCATGAAAAACAGATGGCCAARGACAGAGTCATGGGTCACCCTCATGGAAAACAGGAGGAGCTATGTTAAAGTGAGGGACTGGGAATGCTTAGAGCACCTTTGGAGAGGGTCTGATGTGGCTGGTGTTTTGGAGCAACCCTYTTTTGCTTGGATCCACAACCTGCAGTGTCCTTGTTCCCCACCCCTCTGTGATGGGAGCTGTGGAAGCACCACAGCTCCTCTCATGTCAGGAAAAGGAAAGCACCAGGAAAACACCCAAACCAACAAACCAGTGGGAGATCTGCCTTTTCAGAGTGTTGTGGAGTGTTTGGAAAAGAAACTCAGGAAGACAAGCAATGTGGTTTGTGGCTGTGGTGGAGYTGGTCCCCAAGCAAGGGAAGTTGTCCCCACTAAGGAGCCAGAAAAAGTCCCCCAGAAACTCCCTCCGGATGAATTAATTGAGGATTTGATTCCCAGCCAGCAGGAAGTTTGCGAAGTGAGGCATCTGTCAGAGTCTCCACTAAGAGATGGATCTTCTATGACCATAATTTTCCACATCTGAGGCACTACAAATTTAAATAGAAAAGGGGAACAATGTGGCTGCCGAAGTTTCAGGACAGATGCACCAAATTCAGCTGATGAATAGTGCCCTGATAGCATCAGCTCTCCAGGCTGCCTTCAGGTTGAGGACAAAGGGAGAAAAACAAAGAGCTTTTAAGGCCAATCGTGTTCCTTTTATTTGCCATATTCAGCTGGGCAATTCTCTGTGAGACACTCATCGGCAACAAAKCCATCCTGCTTTCCAATCTCCTGTAATGCAGTTTCCCAGAAAAGAGGCAGAGGCAACATCCTTCCCTCAGGTGAACTTTTGCAAGAGAGGGAAGAGGATGGYTCGGCTCTCTGGGCTTTCCAGGCTCTCCCAGTCCCCCTCTGAGAAGCTGCAAGGAYTTATTTACACACTGAATGGATCTTTTGACATTTACCATTCTGGTAAGTTATGATAAATCTATGTAAGATGTAAAAACTAATGCCARTGGTTAGCTGTGGTGGAGAAACTATGGAGAAAATGGCTGGGTTTTCCATCTCTGTTTGCTTGGTGTCACAATTAGATGTTTTTGTGGGTGCCTGCTTTCAACATAACATAATTGATCTCACACAAGGGTGACCTGGTGAGATGCAAGGGCTTGTGGCACGGGACAGATCCAAGGAGTATAACGCAAGAGCTCCTGCTGGGCTTAAAACATCGRTGAGCTTGTTAGAGCCACTTGTTAGGGAAAACCTCCTGGGCAGGGGGAGAAGTGRAAGGCAACACAAGCAGGAGAGGCAGGGGAAGGCAGCAAGCACCTGCACCTCCCACCATGCTCACCTTGACAAAACCTCTTGCTGTTCCCTGGAAGGGGTGTCCCTGCAGGGCCATGATAAAGTCAGGGAGGGATGAGCCGAAATGCAGCCCCAGCAGCTGTGCCAGGAGCTGCTGTGCTCGGTGCTGGCTTGGCACACCTGGGACAGCTGGGCCTGCCAGCCAGGACACAGAGCACGTTGTTCTTCTAATGCAAATTAATTCCCCCAAGTGCTTTCTCCTCTTCCCCAGACACAGCAAACAGCTGGAAGCTGAGATTACAGTCCTGATGCCAATTAGAGCTGTGGTAAGGCTGGACATGTGGGAAGTGTGAGTGCACTCAGTGCTCCTGTACTCCAGGCACAGGGAGCTTCAGTGCTGGCCCAGGGAAAACCAGGGGAGCTTTGGAAGAAGTTCCATAGGATGTCAGATTCCAGCAGGTGATTGATGGAGGGGGCAGCTTGTCTTTAAAAAGTACTTTGGGCTTTCTTGGTGACAGGAAGACAGCCATGATGCACTCACATATTGGGAAAACAGAGTTCCCTTTTTCCTGTAAGAAGACTGTGCCCTGAGCCTGGCTTTCCTTTCCTGGATCACAGTGCCAGCCACCATAACACCAACCCTTCTTTCTCCCTACAGTATCCATTCCCAAGCAGGCAGGAAGGATTTCTTCTCAGGAAGGATTTCCTCATGGAAAGGGTTGTCAGGCATGATGGGGTCCCCATCCCTGGAGGTGTCCAAGGAATGACTGGACATGGCTCTCAKKGCTCTGGGCTGGATGACAAAGTGAGTACTGGGCACAGGTTGGACTCTTGGGGGTCTTTTCCAACCTCAGTGATTCCATGATTGTACARTTTCCTTGCAGGAGGGAAATGCCTCATGGCAGCCCTTCCAGATTCAAGGCTGTGCCCTGCTTGCTGTGGGTGTTCCTGCTGCAGKATGGGCCTGGCTCATCCCACATTCCCCAGAGCATCCCTGTGGAGGCACCCCAGGGCACCACTGGCTTAGCAGCTATCCCTGCTCCAGAGCAGGGGGATAAGGGATGTTCTCCCTTGCCTGCTAAGCACCTCTAATCCTGTACTTTGGAGAGCCAAGGCACCCTGCCAGCACCCAAARTAYCACTCCTGYACCAACAGGATAYTTTTCCCTTTTTTCTTCCCAATTCTTGGCAAAATGTTTYAAGCTTTTGGGGSCTTTTTGTTTCCAATGTGAGCAAARCACCTAATATTTAATTTKTCTTTCAAAGGAGCTGGGGTTCAATGCAGATTTCACCCAAGGAAGCAGATACTTTAACTGAAATGACTGAGGTCTGCTCCAGCACAATTCAGAGCTCTTTACAAATGTTTTGCTGTCCTTGCCCCCAGATAATGCTGCCAGCCATGGATGTCACCAGCATGTCCATCACCTTCCCTCCTGACTTCAGAGCAAGCAGGCACAACTCCAGGTATGTGACRTTCTGTGCTTTTGTCCCTCATATCTGGTTTTTGTTTTAAACTGGTGCAAACCCRGAAAAGTGCCACGTTTCAGTCACACAAAGCAGGGGAGAGACACAGGCAATCCAAGTCACTCAGGAGCTGAGTTCCTGAGGCAGATGGAGAGACACACATATCCTGGGTCTGCACACCTTCTTTGCTTAATTTGCCCCTTTGAGACTGGGCTAAGTGTTTTTCTGCGGTTCCATGACCATACAGGACTGTGATTTTTCTTTCTTCTCCCAAGCCCACCTGAGCTGCGCTGCTTGCCTCTTCCTTCCATCTCTTCACCATTGCAGCCAAAATCATGAAATCAGGTGGTAAAGATTAAATCCACTCCTGAAAGCATCCTGTGCAAGAAAGGAGCATTTAGGAGCCTAAATCCTCCAATCCCCTTATGCCAATTAGGGTCCTTTCTTTTACGGAGCTGGGAGTGATGCAAGGAATTGCCTCCAATCTGCTCTCGGCCAGAGCAGCGTCACTGTCATTGTGGTGGCGTGTCCACGCTCACCTGCAAACACACCAGAGACAATCCCCACTGCCCACATGGCCTCACACAGACACAGGAAGGGGGGAAAAAGGAATGGGGGWGGTAGAAGTTCCTGAACGCCCCATAAGCTGATTAAAGGGTATTTTACGTAGGAAGGATTTAGCCATGCAGTTCCTAGTACCATCTGACCTCAATAAACGCCCCTGCCATGGGCTGGTGCTGCCATTGCATGGGGCAGAGCCTGTTTTGGGCTCCCCAAAGGTCAGCTGCAGCTGGACAGCTCCATCAGGGCTTGGGACACCTTTGCTGGACATGTGTGGAGCATGACATGGTCCTTCCACAGCCTTCTTGGCCTGACTTGACCCYTGAGCACTTTGCCATCCCAAAGCCATGGTGCAGAGGCTGTAGGATTTTGGGATGTGTTTTGGGCAGCCAAGGTCAAGCTGTTCCATGGAGAAGAGCAGCTCCAGCAGATCTTGGGATCTGGATTCTGGACAGGCTGGCAAGGACTGGGCAAACTTTGTAAGGATTGCCCTGAATAAACAGCAACCCCCAAAGGCTGGAGGGGTTTTCCTTGTCCAAGGCAGGAGTAATGATGTCCACGTGACAAGAGCATCATTTACCCACCTGTGCTTAAGGCTCCCTGGAGGGGCACTCAGAATGCATCCACACTGCTTCTCCAGGGAAAAGGTTTTTTCTGGTCTCCTGCATCRATTGCTTTGAAGGGTGAATGGGAAYTTMTCCCCTACAGAACTCAGAATGCCCCCCCAGAGCTCCAAGTGCTGATTGTGGAGAGTCTGCCTGCATCCCCTSTGTGCTGTGGGTCAGGATAGGTAGTTTTGGGATAAAAACTTTCTTTTTCAAAATGCAATTTCTTGTCTTTACCTCCAACATCAAAAAAGGCCAGGCTAACATTTCTTTTGAACATTGCCAAATYTGGGGCTAAAGCATTTAACGTGGTTCTAAGTCCCTGCCTTTCACACTGCAGATTTGGTGAGCCCTCCCACTGTAAAGAGGAGGAAAAAAGCCTTTCCTCAAGTCCATTCTCAGCTCTGATGCCTTTGAGGCAGAGCAGTAACCAGAGCCAGGGTGTTGAARGTGGGTGGCCCATGTGTTTCATAATCTTTGCTCCCTGTTGGCACGAAGGTGTCCCCAGCCATCAGCRTGGCTGCTGGGAATAGCCCTGGCATGCGTGGCAACTGGATTTCCTTAATGCATCCATCACAGGTCCCTCCACGCTGGGCACGTCAGGCGGTGTCAGGCCTAAGCACAAGTGACTGCACAAAGATCCTGCTGGCTTTACACCTGGCAGCGTCCCAGGRCAGCTCAGGGATGGCCCCAAAGCTCACAGATCCCTTCTCCATCCTGTCCCAGTGTTTCTCCCTGCTGTCTGCAAGGAGTGTGGATGCACCCAGCGCTCCTCTGTGTCACCTGTTTGTGGCACTTTCTAAAATCCTGTGGAAGTTATGAAGCAGGGATCAGGTGAAGCCAGTCATTTCTGGTAACATTCTGGAGCCAATGCTGAGGAGCTCTTCTCTGCAGTGATGCTGCATAAGATGATGGGTTAGATGCCATCTAAATGGGTGATTTCATTTTGCTTTGTGCCTGCTGGATGCAGGCAAGGGGGATCTCCACTCTTCTGCTGGAGCTTGGAATGTTCACACAAATGGAGAATGGGAGAAGCAAGGTGCAAATTCACAAAGCTCCTTTCAACTGATACTTTCTCCTATTTCCAGTATTTCCTCATGAGAGTTTGCTGTTAATTGTGGTGAAGGAGAATCAAATGTTGCTTCAGAACTGAGGATTTGCTTTGGGCTCTGGTTTATTTAATTAAATTTCATCTTGCAAATGCTTTTGAGTTCTCTTCATGGCCTTGCATTTCCTCATCAGGGGCCCCCAGCACTGCATTGGAGCTCGAGCCTGGGTTGTCACCTGCATTAAGTTGTGGCAGTGCTGGGCATGGCCACACCGTGTTCTACCCCATCACCTTTCCACTGTGCCCCTGCTGCTGGAGGCAAAGCCCATCTTTTGTTGCAAAATAGATAATTCAGATTACTTATTTCATGTTCTTCCAGTCCCCAGAAGCTTTTAGTGTCCTGTTATTCACCCTCTGCTGCCATCGTGGGGCCACTTTGTCATTCCTCTTCTCTGTCCTCATCCAGATTCTCGTGGCAAACTGGGTTCCTCARAGCTTGGAGGCGTTTCAGACCCACTGAGGTTATTTGCAAAGGAAGGGAAATCACATTAGTAATTTTTAGCTCTCTACATGTTCCTCAGCCTCTTTTATAAATCTGAAACTGCTGCCACTGCTGCAGGCAAGAGCAGAGGCAGAAGGCTGCAGCTGGAGAAAGCAGTTACAGGGAGGAGAGGAAAATGCTTGGGAAATGCCTGGATCARTGCAGGACTGAGCTGCACTGTCCCAGAGCAGGAATTGTCCAAGTGCTGACCACGGCATGTCTCGGTGCTCCAGTCCTGGAATGGCACCTGGAGTGTCCCTGCTGTTTTTCCCCTCCCTGTTGCAGGGCTCTGGCTGCAGCCTGCACTCACAGGTTGGAGGGCTGAGCTTCTGCTCATCACGGTGTGGGGTGTTCTTCTAAGGGAAGAGTCTTGTTCCCCCAGTCCTCTGGCCATTTTAACAAGGAAGAAGAAAGATAAGGAGATAAAAAATGTAATACAGCTCCTGTAATCCAGCTTCCAGTTGGAAGATGAAGAAAAAAWTATTTATGGTGATTATTCCTTCCAAGCTACTTTATACAATAARAAGAAGGAGAGAAAGGGTAATCCTGTTTTGTTCCTTCATTTCTGTGTCAACTTTAGCTGCAGTATTTGAGACCAAMCAACTCCAAATCCCAGCAATGGCAGGGGAATATATTCAGGATGTTTTCCATGCATGTACAAGTATGCTGGTTTTTTAGAAGCTGTGAGACAATTTGTACTCAGCAGACCTTTCCCAGGTGAAACCACAGTTCAGAAGGTGTTGTCCCCTCATGGAAAAGTCAGCCCTGATCCTACTGATCAGGCAATGCTTGCCCTAAAAAAGGGCAAAGATGTGGCTGACACATCGTTCAGCCAAATCCCTGGCGCACACAGGGAGTCACCGGCAGATCCTGGCAATTGCAAACAGAGCCCAAGCCAGGATTCAAAGACAAGAWCAGAAGATTAAGCTCCTATCAAGAGGTAATTAAAAGCCAGGAAATAATGATGGCAATCACAGCGAATCAGTTGGCACAGGGATGTTTGCCCAACAAATGTCATTATAGGCAGAAGCAGGAATTACYCTCCATCAGCAGAAATATTCCATCAAATTGCTGTGAATGACCTGATCAGGTAATTAAAGGGACATTCCAGCCCCRCTGCATTGTTTGCTGTTAATCACGATCGTTCATATCCATATCTTTACCCAAACAATTGCTTCTGATAAGGCTGCAGATTTATAGGGGACCCCGAGAGGAGCGGGCAGTGGACCCTCAGCCGCGAGCTGGGAGCGACCAGGCTTGGTGAGTCCAGCTGGGGCGGGTGGGCTGCTCGGGCTGCCTTCCCCCTCTTYCACTTTGGGGGTGGATTTCAAACCTCTGTGGTGCCTCGCTGACCCACTGCCATGAGGCCATCCATATCCTGAGCAGCAGTGCTGGAATAGGGGGGGTTATCTCCTCAGGGCTCCCAGGCTGGCTTGGGGCGTGGTTCTTTCAGCTAAAGGTCCCAGCTGGCCAAGGAGTTTGCAGGCATTGAAAATCAGCATCAATGGGGAGGAAATKAAAAGCTTGGAAGAATTTGAAGAAGGTTAAACAGCCCTTCTGTGATGGCATCAGAGATCTACCTGCTCCTTGTGGTCTGACTAATTAAAARACTGATGCAATTGTTATTGATAAGCAGAAGTTCCCCAACAGCCATCACTGCTCTTGGGAACTTCAACAAGCAAATGTGGTCTATCCAGGGACAGAAAATTATGTCCAGAAAGACAAAAGAGAAGTTRATCAGCAGATTAGCAGGAGCAGGTAGAAGAGTTATGAGGAGGGAAACTCTGGAGACAGGGATGGGGGTTAAAATGGGCTCTTAAATATGGTGCTCCCATATGGCAGCCCAGGAGAGGCCAAATKCTGAGGTGACATGCTGGGGGTCAAGGCATGGTGTGACAGGTGTTGGGCACGTGGAAGGACAGGATCTCAGGATCCAGGTTCCACTTGCCCAAGGATGCTCTGGTTTTCAGCTCCTCCTGTATCCCAGGGCTGTGGGGTCTGCCTTGTTTGGACTCCAGTGAGAGGCTCATCTTTGAAATATCCTTCTTGTTTTCCTATTCCACCCCCTCAAAGCTGGATCAGGCAGGAAAACACAACAYTAAAGCTCAAAGTATGTGTGAGATGAAGCTTATGGCTCCTTCATCCTCTCATCTGTTTGCTCTGCAGCCCCCATTAAATATTTGCCCTGTGGCTTACAGTGAATAAATTTCTGTATAAATCACTCACTGTGGTCCTTTCTGCTTGGGCCTCTTCTCATCTTCAGCACCTCCAGAGCAGCAAACAGTCTCAGAAGAGTGACTAAAAAGTGTWCAGGATTCTCTGACAGTTCTTTCATGTTCTTTGTACTGTTTAGCTTCAGAATAAAGTAAAAACCGAGTGGGAGAACTTTGCTTGGGGTTTAACAAGTGCTGTCTGAGAGTTTGCAGGACAGTGATGAAGGTTTGTTTCTTTGCAGGAAGAAGGCAAACAATAAAGAAGTGTGTTATAAATTACAGATAGGACTGCTGTGTGATCCTGAAGGAAGGGTGAGTACCTGGGAATAAAGGGGAAAACAACCTGGGAATAAAGCGGAGAAACATACAATGGCTTGTGATAAACAAACTGTACTTTTATTTTTATTTTGATAAGAAAGCAAAGTAGGAGGGTCTGCTGTCACTACAAATGTGTGTTATTTCACTTTTCCTTCTTAAAGGTTAGAGGATAGGTGGATGTGGGCACACACATGAGCCTTTCCTCTATATATGGATGAATTTTATTTAGCACATTATTTTTTTTGTCTGAAAGCCCCTCGCAGATGTCTCCAGGTGTTTATCTCTGCTGTCAGRAATTACTGCCTCATTTAATTACAGCGGTGATGTTTCCACAGCCCCGTCTCTGTGGGGCACAGGAACTGCACCAGACACACAGYGAGGCCACTTGTCCTGCTGCTCACAAAACCTTGTGCTTTATTTCAGGAGARAACATGGTTTCCATGAGGACAACTCTGTGGCAAGTAATTATTCCCATGATTGTCCTGTCCCACTTCTCAGCATCTCTGCCATCCCAGCAGAGGTAAGCATTTCCTGGGACTCTGCTTCCTTGTTCTCCATGGTTTTTGGTCAAAGAGACTGCTAGCTGTAAACCCARCCTTTTAGCTGCCTCCCTAAACTTGCATCTACTTGGTTGTGGATCTTTTTCTTCCCTAGATAGATTTAGTTAAATGAGTGCAAATATTGTAAATATTTTTTCTTGCTTAAAAATGGGAGCATTGATTTGACTTGATTCAGGGGAAAATTCATGACCCCAAAACAAAGCACAGTTACAAAGACACTTCTGAGTCTGTTTTTCTGCTGTGCATTTAGACAGCCTGATAGAGGTGAAAGTTTCAGTTTCCAATAGCCTGGTCCCATGAAAACATAACCAGAAATAGGCAACCCTGAGTTCACCAAAGGAGCCATCTGCAAGGGCTGGTCTTTGCTGCCCTTATCTACATGTTCCTCAGTTTTGTGTCTCTGGATGTTTATTCATCACTTCTCCAGCCTCTCCCCTCCTCTTTAGTGCTGCATCAGCAACAACCCACGTTCCCCCAGCCTTGTGGCAAGGTCATTACATCAGTAAAAGGAAGTGCAGGTCGTTTTCCCGTGTGATGTTTAACAAAGATATTTTTTCAACTCCTGTAAGGTTTTCCCTTGTATTGTGAAACTTTGCCAAAGAGAGTTTGTGAAGCTCTCTTATTGGAGTGCCAAAGTGGAATTCTTGCCCATGTATTCGGGATGCTCTTTCCTTGAGGCAGCAGTGTTTAATGCCTGTCCTTGAGTGGTTTTAAACCATTCCTGTTCCCTGTTCCAACGTGCAGGACAGAGCGCCACGCGGACGGGCTGTTCCACAGCGAGCTCAGCAAGATGAACGGCAATGCCTACATGCAGCAGCTGGTCAAGCACCTGGTGGGCCTCAAGGACAGGTGAGCAATCCAAACAGGCCAATCCTGAGCAATCCAAACAGSCCAATCCACCCTCGTGGGRCGGGCAGGTGTCCAGCGGGATGCGGCATCCCTGCTCTGAGGATGCACCCAGAGCCCAGGGAGCTGAGATCTCCAGTGCAGAGCAGGGAAAGGGGAGGCTCGCAGGGCTTCTCCGTGCTGGGAGGGGAGCTCCTGATGTGCCCGTGGGAGGGAGCTCTGCTTGCCCTGGCTCGCTGCCCCGCCGTGTCCCCCGCAGGGCCCAGAGGCACTCGGACGGGCTGTTCACCAGCGAGTACAGCAAGATGAGAGGCAACGCCCAGGTGCAGAAATTCATCCAGAACCTCATGGGCCGCAAGCGCAGGTGAGAGGGCCCCTCTGGTGTCCCAGTCCCAAGCCGTGGCTGTCACTGYCACACTGGGCCAGCAGCCCCCACCGAGGCCACATCTGGGAGCATCAGATACAGCACAAGGTGCAAGTGCTGCTCTGTGGTGCTGGTGGTTGCACTGCTGGTGGTTTGGGGTTCTAATTATTATTCATTTTCTTTGTCTAAACCAGCTCTCCTGGCCCAATCAACACAGATGTGCAGGGRAGAGAGGGAGTGAACAACCCTGAGGAACTTTGCTTTCTCTGGTTGTACCAGAGCTTTCTGAACACCAGGTAGGTACAGGAGATTGGCTGTGAGCCCCACAATAGTGAAGCCAAAAGAGGACTCTTATAAATGGCCATAGAAAAGTCAGTTGTTAAAAATAGTAAAGCCCAGGGAAACAAAATCATATTTTTCCWGATCACAGAGTTGTCACCCTGGACTGAAGCAATGATTGATCCCATTAGGAAATCAGATTTAACGGTTAAAATGAAAAGACAGCCTTTACTGCCCTGTCTGGATTTGGCTGCTGATACAAACACACACTTCAGAATGGGCTGTCTCAGCACCTGGATATTGTCTTTTCCTAGTGCCCAACAGCTTTTCCTTAGACATCTCACACTTAAACCACTAAAATTAGTAGGAGTAAGCTGGCCCTTGGTACCTCTTGTGGGGATGAAACCCCACTGTGCATTTGTGGAGTGCCTGGCAGCAGGCAGCTGTGATCCCTCTATCATACACCTGCTCCTTGGAGACACGAGGTGGCCCTGTCACCCTTCCTGCAGCCCTTGCTCATGGGAATAATGAACTATCCCTCGTTTTTCCCTTCCCACAGCCGCTCAGACACAGATGCCAGGGAGGCTGCTGCCATTGCCGGCCAGTTCGTTTGCCCCTTCTCTAAGCAGCTGGTTGAGGACATGAAGAAAGATACAGATGGTGCTGAATGAAGGTGAAGGGAAAGAAACAGCCAAGGAGACAGCTTTGCACGTGTACGGCCTTGAAAATAAATTGGGAAGCTCTTGCTTAGGAAAAACGCTTGAGATYGGCAAATAAATAAAAATAATCCTGGAAAGCAGCCAAAAGCCAGTGAAACCTCTGAGATTATCCACCGTGGAATGTATGTGGGTGTGAACTGCTGTCAGTAGATGGAGCCCGGGTGAAGCACATCCCTTCCACTCTGTGCTGGCATCTGGCTGCTTGCTGCTGGTCCCAAATAAAGATGGTTAGCTGTGCCTGTGCCTTGGCTGCTTTTGGGAAACTGGAGTAAGGGTAGTTCCATTATGAGGTCTCAGATCATTAGGAATGCTAGGGAGGAACATTTTGCCAGGATTCCCCCACAGGAAGCATGGTGGGTCACGTGGCTGGGACTGGGGAATGCCTCCAGCTTTGCACAGAGGTCAGAATTGGGGCTCCATGTAGCAGGAACAAAGCCAGATGTTAGGTTTTATGGCAAAGAAATGTTCTGAGAGCTACACACCACTGTAAATGGTGTTTGCACTCSRTTCTGCCCMTGGARWTGGTGACCCAGCTTTGTCAGAGCCRCTAAAGACAAAGCTCCACGAGGAAGGATTTGTTCCCACCATGTAATGAGGTTTATGTGCTGTCCCTGTGCCACACAGGCAGATTGCCCCCTTTGCGGGAGCAGCCACCCCAGCTTTCCTGTAAAATCAATGGATTTTGGACAACAGCTCTAAAATAAGGATCTTCATCTGCAATCCTGTCCTGAGTGCAGCCCTTTCCAGCCCATCCTGCTCCATCTGTGATGGACCTGACACCTGCAAAAGGAGCTGTTSTCACTCAAATGCTCACCTAAGCACTGTTCTCTTACTGAGGTGCTGAACAAACCTTGGCAGTTGTTTATTTTGGTCCATAGGAAGTCTCTGCTAGGGAAGATTCCTTTTGGAATACTTTTGGAAKGAGTGTTTACAGCCTGGATTTAATTAAGCTGTTGACAACCACATGGCTGAAGTGCAGCATGTGAGATCTTCTTGAAATCAGAAAGAATTTAAAAAGATCGGCGAGAGCAGAGGTCCCCTGAAAACTTCAGGGAGCTGCTGAGATGAAAATAGTTGAAGATTTCCTGGTGTGGAATCTCCTGGAAGGAGATTCTGGGAAGCATCTCTRCAAGGAACAGTGGCTGGCCACTGATAGAAGGAGATGTTTTCCCTACAAAGCTGCTGGGCAATTCCTGGGCTGCAGCTGAGCCTTGTCACTGCTGGGATCCACTTGTTCACTTTGTGGGATACAGAYCCTTTCTCTGACACACCAGAAACCAAATTTGCCTCCTTCCCACTGGGAGAGGCTGGAGTAGACAGGCAGCTTCCCAAGTACCAGCCCTTGTCCTTCAGGCTCAACTGGGCAGGGGCTTGGCTCTGAGCTCTGAACCAAATCCATCTTACAGCCACAGAGAGTTTAGGATACGAAAGATCCAGGGGAAAAAAGAGGAAGCAAGAATTTATGCGTCATCGTGCTGCATGACTGGCAAATCCTTCAATAACTCATCCAATGGGGCAAAGAGGCAAAGGTTGAACCACTGCAATCCACAGCCAACTGCTGTTCCTTGACGCCATAAAGTGGTGAAGGCAGACAAGGGCACAGGGAGGATCAGGGAGAAGATCAGCTCAGCTGGAGAAAGGGATTTCTCGGCAACTGGCAGCTCCCCATGGCTGTTCCTCAGTGGCTCCTCATGTCTGCACTCTTCCTGCTGCCCCTCTTGGCACAGGTTTGGGCACAGCAACTGGGTAAGCTCTAGCACAAGGTCCGTGTCTCTGAGGAATGGTTCCYGTGGGAGGGGGTGGCCCTGTGACAGATGGGAGGTTGTTACATTCTGAGACAGCTTTGCTCCACAACTTGTGACTACAGCTGTCACCCAGCTCCTTCACAACGTGGAGCCTTGGGCAATTTTGCATCTTGTTTGTGTGTTTTTCCAGGGTGCTTTGTCAATAACAGCAAACCAAGCGTTCCTGAAAATAAGCCTCGTTATTTGGTGACCGCCATCCACACGGAGCCAGGTTTCACCCTAACGATTGATCCCAATTCCCCTGATGGCCAATTTTTTACCATTGAAGGCTCTGAGCTGTGGCTAACAAAGCTTGTGGACTATGAGGTAAGTCTTTAGGTRTCAGGCTGTAAGGATGGGATGGAGAATGCTGGGATGCAATGAGTTTCAACCTGGAGTCTTGGGCTTCCAGGGATTCTTAAACTGTTTCTAAAGGAAATAAGTTCTTTCAGTTATGTGAGTTTGGGAGCCAATGTAAAAGATAGACTATTTATAAGGGCCTGGAATGACAGAACAAGGGAGAGTGATGTCAGACTGCCAGAGGTCAGAGTTAGATGGGATACTGGGAAGAAATTCTTCCCTGTGAGGGTGCTGAGGCCGTGCACAGGGTGTTCAGAGAAGCTGTGGCTGACTCTGGATCCCTGGAAGTGTTCAAGSCCAGGCTGSACAGGGGCTTGGAACAACCTGGGATAGTGGAATGTATCCCTGCCCATGGCAGGGGCTGGAAYGAGATGAGCTTTAAGGTCCCTTTCARCTCAAATGATTCCAGGATTCTGTCGTCTTGTGTGAAACAGAAAGGTAGTATAAAAAGTCAGTGWGTTCACTTAGGTTGCTGCTAAATTATTTCAGCTCTCTGGAGCTTTCTGTACACAGCCACAAGCATCCTAAGTTCCCTTTCAGTGTAAAAACCCACATTTACTTAAGCAAAGAGCAACAAGCAGAGTTAACACCCTGCAGTTAACACCCCAGTGTACTTGCTGCATAGACTGTTTCTGACTTATTCAAGTTTAAAAGAAATGTGTTTGAATTCACCTGAAGTGAGAGAGAATCGCAGATTAGCTCTGCCAACATCTGGTAGGAATYACAGGGAGAGAGGATGGAAGCTGGGGCTGCTTTGATATAATCATAAAAGGAAAGAGAGGAAAAGTTGAAAATAATTCTGATTCAGCAAAGCATGAACTTGGCTCATTTGTTTTAGCCAGARTCAGTGCTCTTGGGCTGTTTCTAAAGTGGTTGGTTTTGTTTCTCACGCAGACAGACCCTGTGCTGCTGCTGTACCTGAACTGCAGGGACCCTGCTGGCCAGGTGAGTGCTCTGAGCCCTGGGACAGGGCACTGCAGGCACCACGGGCTTCCCTCTGCTCCTCCTAAACCCCACAGTGGGATGGGCAGAYGCTTCTCCTTGTGGGCAGCAGCACTGCTCTCACAGCCACAGAAAGCGCCAACCAAGGCTGTGYGGGTGGGGAGCGGGCTGGCTCCAGCCCCCATCCTTACACCATCCCCTCTGGTCACTCTGCACGGCAGGAGCAGCCCCAGCAGTCTGTTTTAGTCTTTGATTCTTTGATTTGCCCGTTCTGCAGAGYGATTCCATTGAAATCCTGGTCACCGTTCTGAACGAGAACGACAACGACCCCGTGTTTGCGCAGCCGAACCTCAGCAGGACTGTCCCAGAGGTAAAGGGGTTTTTGGAAGGGAAGAGGGCACTGCCTCACCGAGTGCTGTGGGACTGAGGAAGGGTCAGCAGGGAGGGGACTTCAGTCTGTTTCAGACAGACAATAACCACAGCCACGTGTTTTTTCAGGATACAAAAGTCAACACAACCATTGTAGTCCGTGACGAATTAAGTGCTACTGATGCTGACCTGGACACCATTTACTATGAACTAACAACCACAGTGCAGGTGAGCATTTCTGGGGACAAACAGAACTCTGAGAAGTTGGATTCAGAAGAGCCTCAGCTTTGAGGAGAAGGTCACTGCATTTGGCTCTCTCATCTTCTACAAAACCCAAACATTGATTTGCTCGGTAGAAAAGAGCCATCAATGCTGCTGCTATTGAATTCTCTTACTGCTCATACTTTTAGTGCACTGTGCAGGTTAAACTTTCATCTAGGATATTCAGAGCCGTATGACTCAAAGGAGTCTTGTTGGGATGATCTGTAAACATATCAGGAGACCTTTGTACCTCAGGGAGATCAGGATTGTGCTGAGTCTGATGGGGAAAGCAGTCCATACCCTATTTGCCAACAGCAGCACAGGAAATGGATTGTGCACACAGTGAAACTAATGCCAGCCCAGAATGCAATGGCTGGCTGTAAACTAAAAACAAAAGGAAATTCAAGAGAAAAACAAATCTATGTTTGCATTTTTGAAAAACATTGTGGAGAGAGCAGACAGTGCCTTCGTTATTTCCATATCTCAAAGGAATTTAAGTTTCTGTGAACAGAAACCGCCAGGTTTTCAGCTCTGGGATCAGACTTTGCATTCACTTTGGTGTGGATTTAGGAATTCAGAGGCATGAGATTAAAGGAGAACCAAGCAAGTGCAGGTTATAGAGTAAAATGCAACATATACTTCAATTTGGCTTTACAGTTTCTTCCAAAGTCCAGCTGTGTTAGGCTAAGGTGGGTGATCCTCCCAGCTCTCAAAGGCCGAGCCATTTTTTACCTGTTCTGTGCATGGAAGAGAGATTGCTTGGCTGTCAGGGACCCAAAATCAAGGACTGTAGRCTACTTGTTGAGTGTAGGAAATAAATGAGAGATTTCATCCAGGAGCTGCTGAGCAGGTGGGCAGGCGAAGCAGGGCATCTGGGAAAGGAAATTCATGGGAATAAACATTTCTGACAAGCCAGACAATTCCAGTGCAGTACCAAAGATGAAGCAGATCAGACATTCCCACACTGCCCACCATCCAGGTCCTCAGGATTAAAGGTCCAGTTGGGGTGACAAACACAGCAATGAGGAGGGTTTGGAATGTGTCTGTGATTTTTCCTTTTCCCTTGTCAGGACACAGACGGTTATTTTGCCATAAGAGGAGTTAATAACCCAGAAATTTATTTACAAAAAGCACTGGACTTTGACAAATTTAATATGACGATGTTGCTCTTGTATGCAAGGGTAAGTGACTTGGGAAGAACAGAATGCCTCGCTTGCCTGAAGGGTGAGTCTGGATGGGAGATCTGTGGGATAGCAGGAGGGAGCCTGGGGACTGGGGGATTTGGAGCAGCCTTTCCCTCTCCATAATTGCAGTGGCAGACCTGCAGGCAGCAGAACAAAGCAACCCTCTGCTTTAACTGCTCTCACACGCATTGCTAAACTTTAAACAGATAGGAGTGGCAATGTCTAAAGGGCCCCAGGCCACTGCTTTTGGCACTGCCACTTGTGTCTGAGCACTGTGCTTTGCTTTGGGGGCAGGACAGGCCTGTGGGCAGCCCAGAGCCCAGCAGGACGGCCACTGCCACCATCAGCATCGCCGTGGAGCAGAGTGACACCCGGCCTCCCTGGTTCCGRCCCTGCACCCTCCTCCACACGGACAACAGCATCTGCATCAGCAGCCCCTACTCCGGGAGGGTCAACATCTCTGAGATGGCGGTGAGAGCTCCGGCAGTGTCCCTGGGGCTGTTCCCAGCGGGASGAGCCCAATCCTTTCCATCAGCTCCTGCTGGTGCCCAGTTACACTGCAGGTGGTTCGGCAGGGCAGGGAGCATCCATCACCCCCACACCGAGCAGCTCTGCCTCCCTCTGCTCCACAGCACAGCATAGGAGAGGCGAGAGCTGGAGCAGCAGCTCAAGGCTGTGCCCTGGCACTGCCACTTCCCAGCAATAAATCCCATTCTGCCCAGGCAGAGCCGCCAGACCCTCGCAGGGATGGGAGAACTGCGGTTGCTGATCTGGGGCTGCCTGTGGTGTGTGATTGTTGGCCCGTGGTGTGTGATTGTTGGCCCGTGGTGTGTGATTGTTTGCCCGTGGTATGTGATTGTTGGCCCATGGTGTGTGATTGTTTGCCCTGTTGTTGCAGACAGAGCCGCTCGTCCTGGAGCCAGGACCCATCTACGCTGCTGACCCCGACTACACCATCAATGACAGGATCGTGTACAGCATCGTGGGGGGTGAGTAGACCTTGTCACCCTCTGCAGTACCTGCCAAGAGCACTTGATGGAGGGCCCCGGATTTGCCCCCCTGTTTCTGCCACAGAAACGTAACTAGGTCCACAGAATATTGTGGATTAAGTAGAAGAAACACACTGTACAGAGAGAATGAAAAAAAAWAATTATCYRYCCCAGAAACGGATCTCAGTGAAATCTGTTTCAAAAGGACTGGTTTTTTTGTTAGGTGAGATGTGTTTTATCTTTAAACTATAAGATGTAATTTTGTCAGTCTGATCATGCCATTTTCATTCAGTCTTCGAGTTGAACCTAAAATTCCCACATTTTCAGCCTGATTTCCATTCATTGCCAAGAATTAAGTTTTTATTCCCCAGCACATTRCCTGTATCTCATCTGCCCTGTTTTCAAAAGGATCAAGGCGAAGGTCTTATTTGTCAAGTGGAGTGTTCCTCTCCCTTTACCTATTATGCCTCATGGCATCACAACAGTGAATATCCTCCTGCTATCAAATGTATTAAAGAACCTAAATTCCACTGGTATTTGGATGGAGTGTGGCCTCCCAGCCCCACAGGCAGTGGGGAAGTCCAGACTCAGATCCTAAAGAGACCCCACAGTGTCTCAGGGTGGRAAGAGAACTAAAAATTCTGCTTATGTTACCATGTATATCCGACATAGGTACTTCAGTGATTCCCACACAGATGTAGGAGTCTGATTTCAACCTACATACAAAGTTTGTGTCTAGACTCCCTTTGTAGTCAGTAGAGAGAAATAACCACTCAGAGCAAGTGGGAACTGGATTTTCAGTCCTCAAATTGCACCAGAGGCTCTGGGCATTTATCATACCTTAGACTGGCAATACATGGGTCTTGGCACTGGAAGTGCAAAGCTTTGCTCTCCTACCTCATTTAACTGGCTTCACACACATCTATTGAGTCTCTTTACCAGMAGCCAGGCAGGCAAGGAAAACAGCATTTTTCCTTGAGTAAATGGTATTGGAGGGTATTTTCACTAAGATGTGGAAGAGTATTGCCATCAAGATGTGGAAGCATGAGTCTGTGAGCTCCASGTCACTTTATGAAGGAATCTGATGGTTGAATGGTCTTTATGTTTTTTCTAGGGAATAAAGACGACGTGTTCTCAGTGGATGCAGACACAGGGAATCTAACCATGAACAAAGTAGTGACTTCCCCAGATTCCTTCCTGCTGCAGGTTATGGTAAGTGATGGCATTACAGCCAGCTGCCTAGCACAGCTGGATCTCTAGGAAGCAGCAGCCTGGGTGTGACTGGAGTCAGTGACCTCAATTACAACTTGTAGGGTTTGACCCATGTCTTGCACCAACCCACTTGCAAAGCCCCTGCAGCAGTTGAGTTTCCCCTCGGGTCTCAGTGGTGACAACAAAGGAAATTCACCCTGGGGACATTGTGCTGAGTTGGGAATTGCAAAGGGCTTGGGATGGAGCCTGTCCTTTCATGTCTCATCAGGACAGAAGTCTGACATCTCTCTCTTTTGCTCCAGGCCACCCAGGCCAGCAACAGAAGGAAATACTCAGTAGCCACTGTAGAGATCAAGGTCATCAATAAAAGCCTGCACCCACCCTACTTCGAGAAGAGGATCTACAATGGGACAGTGTTTGTTGGGCTGCCCCGGGGGAGCTTTGTCTACCAAGCTGGGGATCCTTCCACCCCGCTGGTGATAACGGCGATGGATGAGGATTTCCCTGATGTGAGCAACTGACAGTGCTCTGTCTTCTGTCTCACGGCTTCGGGCTTAAAGCAGGATGGGGAAACACGAGGGRGGGAAGCTGGGGAGAGGCAAACACATGCTGTTCTCTACTGTTCCATGTTATATTTCCTTGGGAATTCCACGCAGAGCAGGACCTCTTACGCTGTGATGTAAAGGGGAGAAGCTGCTGGACTCCCCTCTTCCAAAACCAGTCCCACMCAGATCATTTGCATGGGTGTGTTTTGCTTGGGCAAGTACTAAACTTACCAACTCAAGYGGGGTTAAGACTTGGGGTTTTTTTTAAATGTTTTTGTGTTACATTCTTGGCTTCTGAGTAGCAGGGTGAGCACAGTTGAGTTCAGCCTTTCTCACCTGCTCAGCCCAGTTTATTTATTGCTCTCCACACCTGCTKGTACCTCAGGTGTTGCAGACAAGTCCTGCCCGGGGGGTTGTTGGGAAGCTGCATGTGAAGCACRGTGTGGTTTAATCACCCACTCTCTGGCTTTTCAGAAACTCAACCCTAACATTGAGTACACTCTCAAAAACAGCACTGATTTCATGGCAACCAGGGATGGCCTCATCCTGACCAACGTGGTGCTGCAGTCCCCTGGAACTGTGACCATCCAGGTAGGGCACCTTTCTTGGGTATTTTGTCAGGGGTGTGCAAAGAAGGAGGAATTCAAATCCTCTTTTTGCGTGGGTGGAAGGAAGCAGACAATATCTTTAGACTTGTAAGAATCTGGATGTTTCCTTTGTCCCTGAGCCTACCTAAGGCTTGCCTGGCACAGTGCCACGCCCTGTGGAGCTGTCTGAGCTGCTGCCCTGCTGGAGCTCCATGGGCAGGGCACAGAGCAGTGCCAGCACCTGCTGCTCCTCAGAACCTGTGCTCTGTGCTGGGAACTGAGCATAGGGCAGGGACCTGGTTCACCTCATCCCTTCCCAGGGTAGGGAATCTTCAGGGCCAGGCTGTCCAGTCACAGTGAAGGGCTGTGGTGAGGATGGGTACAAGGTTCTGTACCCTCAAAGGGTCCCTCACAGACCTTGAGAGTGGGCTGGAGATCTGGAAGCTCCCAAGCCATCTCTTTGCCATGTTCCCACAGGCTGTTGGAAAAGACGTGTTGAGCCTGCAGGAGGCAAGCACCATAATCGTGGTGGAGGTSATCCTTGCCCCAGGTAKGCTGGGYGAGGGGGCCTCTGTTTTCTGCTCTKTGGAGTTGGCTGGGGACTCTTTTCTGCTTCTGTGGCCAACTGGCCATGGTGGATCACCCACTGAAGTGTGTGGGGCTGGGCTGAGGCCAACTCYGTCCCTACAGGAGGCTCTGTGGTGATGTTAAGAGAGAAAACACCCCAACAGCATCCTCACAGCATGGTCACCACATGTCTCTGAGAGCCTTCTGAGGCTTTAGGCAGTGCTGTGTGTTGGAATGYCTTTTCTTGCTATTCCAGAGCTAAATCTGGGCTTGGTTCACGCTGGGAAATAACCCAGGATGTCTTATTATGGCAGAGGAGATCTCGGTACATCACTGCTCCTTTTTAGCCAAACACAGAAGAAACTGCAGAGTTYGTGCCTGTCTTAGGCAGAGCAGAGRGCAGCTGGCACACCCTGAAGCCAGGCTTGCCCGTGGGCCATTTTCTGTTCAAGTGAAGTCAGGTCAGGCTTTTTTACCCCAGAATTTTATAGTCTTTCAGGAGAAACAGCCCATGAGTAATGAGATAGACACGAGGCTTCATACAGAGCCCTCCAGCTGCTCTTTAACCTTGTGGATGTAAAACCAGCTCACACCTCCATATTGCTGAGAAATGACTCTTAAATAGGTCTTAAAAAGAAATTGGGTTTGAAGTTCATGGAACTTCTTATGCTTTGGGTTTAGGTGAACCAATATTGTGCCTTTCATCTCAGGCTAGGCAGACAATGCCCAGACTCCACTGGATTCTACACAATGATGTGAGTTGAAGTTCCATCACTTCACCCTCTCATCACCACTGTCATGGGATGGGAAAAACAAGTGGGCTCCTGGGTGTAAATTAGGATTCCCTGAAGGCTGTGTCACTTCACAGCTAAAAACCACCCAAACCCCACTTAAGAGCACAGCCCAGCTCAGCAGAAAGCATGTCCAGGTGTGGGCACATGGAGCTGCAAATGCTCCAAGCAGCTACTAACACTTCTGGGCAGCTTTGAAGTATTGCCCTTGCTGCTTAAGCCACACWAATCAGTGATGTTGAATATGCAAAATTACACAGCTCTGTGGCTCTCTGCAGGCTGTGGCTTCCCAGGAGTCAGGACTAAGCAGCAAAACTTCACCGAGGTCCTAAATCCTTGCCAAGGTGTTAATGATAAACTGAGGGCAGAATCAGATGTGGAGGGAATACTCCAATTCCATTATCATAAACAGATCAGCAGRAGAACAAAACCTTGTTTCATTAATCACTAATGAGAGTCATTTACACTACAAAATAAGGCTGGAAAACCTAAAGAATTCCACCASGACCACCAGCGAGCAAAGCTGATAATGGTACAGTCTCTCCAGTGTGATGCTGGTCTCTGTACAAACACCTTACACCAACCTGTGGCTGGAAGCAGAAGCTGCCCCTGAGAAAGCTGGGTGATATTGCTGCAGATACAAAAGCTTTTCTTGTCCTGGGGGTTTCTAGTGCTTTTCCTATTTTCTACTGGGCTTTTTTGTTTCTTGTTTTGATGTGCTCATCTGTATTGAAGGGGATGTTCCAGATAAAAGAAAGCTTTGCATTTTCACAGAGGTACAAACAAACCTCATTTTTGCATTCTGATGTAAAAAAGTGGGAAACTCACAGACCTAAATAGCTTTACTCCATGTAGCATCTACTTGTCTGATGCAGTCAGGTACTTATAAACTTAGTTAAATCATGGGGTAAAAGCCACTGTCCTGTAAATGGCTGCTATTTCCACTTCATGGAATTTATTGCAAATTACAGTGTTCTGGGTAATAATTTTTTWAAAAGCTCTGTTTTTAGAGTAGCAAAGAAAGGTCTTCTGTGGTATCAGAGATATCACTGCCACGTTCTGCAGCACAGGAAGTTTCCTTGCCCTTCAAAGATTGGTTGGAGTTTCTCCCATGGTGAAGGGTTGTGTTGGAAGTGCTGGCCACGAGTTTTAGGCTTTGTAACTCTGGTTTGTTCTCCTCACAGCTGTAACCCCCTCTGACAAGATGTACTCTGCTCAGGACATGGCTATCCTAGGGGGCACCTTAGCAGCACTGCTGGTAATTKCCTTAGTCTTCCTTGGAGTGCTGGTGTGGAAATCCAGTAGATGGTATGGAATACCTGTCAAATACCTGATGAAGAAAAAGGTAAGCGCCTTCTTTGTACCTGAGCTTCCAAGAGATAGAAAGTGGGATCTGAGGAGGCTTTAGTGTGTGGATGGGCTACCCAAATACTGCACATTTGTGTGAAGGTGATGAATCACTCCCAAGACAAAGTTTGCAGAGGTGGCATCACTTTGGTGCTGTTTGCTGCTGTTCTTTGTGCCCCTGAGGCTGCAGCTGTGTGATGGATGAGGAGCAGACACTGAAAGGAGAGCACCACAGCTCCATGGAGCACAAAGTCTGGGATGAACATGGCACATATTGGGGTGGTCTCTGAAAAACACCTGTCCTTGGTATAAACCACTGCTCATCTTCCTCAGTCACTGCAGCCACCCCTTCCCTTCTGCCCCCCATTTCTTTTGCCATCACTACAATCACAACATGCCTCTCCTTCTGTAGCTCTCCAAGGAAACCTCAAAGGGTCACTGGAACAAATATTACCAGGAAGATGAACAGCCAGATGTGAGCACCAAGCAGAACGAGACATCAGAAACCAGCAGTGTCCAGGCAGAGACTCCTGCACCAGAGCAGCCAGCACTTGCCTCACTCTCCTCCACTGCAGAGGAAACAGAGAGTTTCCCACAGGCCTCCACAGCTTCCACTGTCATCTTTGACCAGGAAGAGAAAGAGGAAGAGGAAGAAAAGGAAGCAGAGGCCGGACAAGAGAAAGAAGTGAAGTCAATCCTCAAGACAGAGAGGCAGGTGGCAGATGACGGCTATAAAGCTGTGTGGTTTAAGACTGATGTGGACCCCGAGGCTGGAGAGAGGGTTGAAGTGATTGAGGACAATGCAGCAGATGATGATGATGATGATGATAATGATGACAGTGACCAAGACCTGCAGAAGAATGAGGAGGAGGAAGAAGGTTCTGATACAGATGGTCACCAGCAAGGGCTGGGGGTGTCCTTTGTCTCAGAGAGCTCGTCGCCCAGAGCAGCAGAGGTGACAGTCAACATGTCTCACACAGGGGCAGGGACAGATGACTCTGAGATATAATGGAAATTGGGCTACATTGGGCCCAAAAATAAGACAATCTCAGCTTTTTTTGCTGACATGAAGCCCATCTTTCTGCTCAGGGGGAGAACTAGAATGCAGAAGGATGAGGTTATCTGTCCTGCTCCTCTGAATGCAGCAAATAAGGCCAGAAAAGATTACAGCTAATTTAACTTTAGTGAGACCTTGAAATATCACTTAGGATTTGCAGTGTGAAGGGTTTCATTTTCTTACCTTCCTGCCCATCCCCCCTGGGTCCCCTGATGTCACCTTTCCCAAACTGGCTGCAGGTACAGCAGAGCTGTAGCTGGCCTGGCCTGGCAGCAGCGAGCCCAGCTCACAGGAGCAGTTGAGTTGACTCTTCCCTTTGGGGTGTTGCAGTTGGGTGTCAGCAAATCCCTCAGAGCCTGCAGGTGCTCCTGTGACTGTGCAGGGCTCACTGCAGGGCTTGGCTCTGCTCTGTGCTCCCAGCACAAGCAGCTGGAATGTGCCACCAGATCCTCRTCCTGCCAGCCAGCAGGGTCCATGCTCAGGACCTGCTGTTTCCTTTGGCACTGGTAAACAAGGACTGATCACGTGTTTTTTACTGAAGGACTTTGTCATCAATTTTCTATGTTGTAAAACCACTAATTGTACAGTTCTTTAGCTATGTGCTAAGAACTGCAAAAGAGCTCCTGAAATATTGTCTTCAAGTGCCAAGTCAGCACCCTGTTTCCAGGGAGCAGAGGGAGGGAAATGTTTGATGCTCTTGTCTAGGTTTGCATCTCCCATCAACCAATCTCTTCCCCCAGCTGGCAGCCAAAAGCTGGGCTGGTTCCCACTGGCTGAGAGCACAGCTCTTTGCATTTGCATCTTCTGAGCATCAGCACAAGGTCTGTGCTGCTCCTGGAGAAAGAAACCCAACAATGACTGCTGGGATCTGCAGGTACATCAGAGCACAAGTCATTCCCAAGGAGGCTTTTATCCTCTTGGGCAGTRTGTGTCTGTGTTCCAATGCCTGGTCCTGCTCTCCTGTCTCCGAGGAATGCTGCCCTGGCTGCCTGGACTTCAGGAACTGTCCTTGTGCCAAAGGTGAAGCCCCAGACCTGGGCAGCTTCTCTACTTCCTGCAGCAAAGCTGTTAGCCCAGGGATTGCAGGTGTGATAAGGGAGCACACCCTGGGTTTGCCATGTAAACCAAGTGCCTCCAGCAGCTTTGGSAAGCATTTCCCATGGGACTGGGAGAACTCCCCAGCTCACTGCAAGGCTGAGGGTGAGCCTGCCCACCCCCTGTGCTTATGCTGCTGCTCAGATTCCTTCATGGCTGTGCCGTGTGTGCTCCGTTCCTGTCAGTGCCCTGCTGTCTGTCTGCCTCCCCTCTGCTGCTGTGAACTCTGGGTTTCTGTTGGCACACTGATTTATGAGCTCCTTGGAACTGCAATCTGTGCTCAGCTCTCAGTGCTTTCCTTCCCCACACTGGTGTGCTTCCCATGCTGCTGGRATGGGACTGGTCTCATCAAACCAGTCTTTATTTTCTCCCAGCTCTCATCAGGACATACAGCCACGGGATTTAGTGGTTCTCAGGGTTATGGGTGTTTAATTTCAAAGGAAGTGATGTTTGGTAAATCTTGTGTCTGTGGAAGTGGTTGTTTTTGTGAGGAGAATCAGTAAAACCTGGCAGCAAGGCAGAGCTCAGCTTCTTCCAGTTCTTGCCTGTTAAGGCCTCCAGATCCTGTGTTGTTGACTCCTGTCTGTTTGGAAAGAAATGAAGAAAAATGYGTAAGGAACAAGAAGAAAATCTAACCTTTTAAGTTCAAATCCACCAGAACTTGCCCTCCATTTGGTTGGGTTGATTTGTCTGCTGAGGCTGGGAAGGGTGACAGACTTTTTGCATCATTGWACAACAATCATGTTCATTTATAAACATCTACATGGGAAAGAAAAATGTACTGATAYAAATGTTTTTATAAAATTGGATCAGCTTTGTTTGTTGATGGCAAATAAATATCTAAGTTACCTTGAAAATCTCATCCTTACACTCCAAAGACATTCAAATTCTTTTGGAAGATTAACTCTACAGGTAGATTTAAGAAATCTCTTTTGTCCCATCCCCAGTCAAACTCTGTTTTGTGTTGCTGTACCAGTGTAGATCTGTAGGGGGAAAAAGAGCAGTTTCAGCATGGCCATAGTAAGTGTGGATTTGAGGTTTTACAGGTGACAGTGACACAGATGCCAAGGGAGAGGATCCTCACAGCTTTCCTGAGCTCTGAGCACCCTCTCCTGATGTAACACCCACCTGGGATGTGCCTGTTTCATCTTCATTTTGGCCTCTACGAGGAAAAAAAGCCATGTCCCTTCTCAGCTGCCACAGGAAACTCTAAAGCTGAATTGAAACCAGGAAGTGCAAACAGGGAATTGGAAAAMTCAAGTAAACACAGAGATTTTACCTGCAGGAAGTAACAGAAACAGACCAAAAAATCCCCAGGTGTCTGAAAACTAATTTCTGCTGAAATTCTGTCCCCATTTAGTACTGAATAAACTCACAGATTTCATCAAGTCTCATTGGCATAACTGACAGCAAATGCATCCTTTTGCTTTTTTTTTTTGCTCCCAAGAGAAAAATGCTTTTGGCASRKGGCTTGCCAGGGTGCAGAGGACACTTGTTGGTTTAGTTTTGAAGGGATGGAAGAGAACTGGAGATCTTTCTCTTTGTGTGTAGGATAGTGGAATAATCTAACATTTATAAACTTMCAAATGATAAATAGTCAGACATAAAAGACCTGTTTTAACCTGATTCCCCTTGGATATTGAATGTCCTTAGCTCCAGAAGGGTTTATTTTTCCTTCAAAAAAGAAGTCAATACGATTTTATTTTGGTTTGCATCTTCATTTTTTCATGAATTGGTTGCTAAGTCCTCATAGAAATAAAGTTTCACATGGGTTTTAAGCAAATTATGGCCTTTCCTTTTTATGAGTACATATTTTATCCAATCAAAAATGACAGCATCAAATTCCAAGGAACAACTTTGGAGCTATAACAATAACTGAGGCTACAGCTATGAACCAGCAGTAATACTTGGAGACAAACTGTATTCCTGTGCTCCTTTTGCACAGAGAGGTTGCTGTAATGAAGGACAGAGATTGCAGTTTTGGGTTTCCCCTTGTTTCGTGTAAGCCAAGATAAACACTTGTAGGATAAGCCTTAATGGAATAGCTGAAAAATGTAAGACACCATGTTATACCTGATGTTCTGCTTGGATTTATGTATCCTCATGCACATGTTATGGGTCATGATCCCAATCCATAATCTTTCTGTTCATTTTATTTTGGAYGCTGCAGCCTGGCTGGGGGAGCTGTTCCTTTTCATTTTCATTTAATTTTCTGTATTTCATTARTTCTCCRTGGAAATCTGCTTTTAACAAAAAGGCCCACATTTTAGCAATATGAGGATATTGATGATGTGCCAAGTTGCATTCACAGGTGTGTGKTCAGAGCAAGGATTGTTTTGGCTGGCAGAGGCTGCACTGATCTGCCAGGAATCTCAGTCTGGGTTTGTCTTTTCTCCCAATTCTCCTTGGTTTCAGGGTRCAGTGCARCCCWGYCCTGSATATCTCCTASAAGAGTTTTGGGGGTWAAAAGGGTTTCTTTCATATTCTGCAGTATTTCTCTAGAACTCAATTAAAACCAAAACCATGTGGTTTGAATTGGTTCATTTGCAGTGATTAATTAAAACAAATTATTGAGATGGGGTTGAGCAGCCCTTGGTTGAAGCTGACAGCTCTTCTTTATCATCTCTTCATTCTTGGAGTGATTTCTTAAGCAATTCCTGCAGTAAAGGTACACAATGAGGAGAACAGCATTCCTGCCCTGCTGGATTGGAAAATGCAAGTCCAGTTCCTTGGAGAGTTTGAGGGGATGAGGAGCTGAGGTTTTGGCAGTGGGAATTGGGTGAGGAGGGGAGAGGGGAGATCCCCCCAAAATTGTTGAAGTCACTTCTGAAATGATCCTGCTTAAAGGGGACTTGAGGAAGCAGTGGGATGTGCTGGGGGGGTGCTACTCTGGAAGCCCCAAAGCCTGGTCAGGGATGCTGGGCAGTGCCAGGTGCACAGGGACACTATGGAAGGGCTGTGCTGGCAGCCCCAAATTGCAGCCAGGAATGGTGGGAAGTGCCAGCTCCACAGGAACACCATGGAAGGGCTGTCCTTGGGCCCCCCTGCTGCAGCCAGGAGTGCTGGGCACTGGCAGCTCTTTGGGGCACTCCCTGATCCACAGAGTTTTCCCATTATTTTCTGTCATGCTTGGCACCTGGCATCTCATGAGAGTCTCACTGGCTGGAAATCCCATGGGAGCAGTTGGAGTGCCAGCTGATCACACATAAGGCAGTCCAGGATTGGAAAGGAACTTCCCCTCTCCAGACCCGGGGCCCCGTGGAGAGCAGAGGGGTCACATCACTCTGCACTGTGAATACAGAGAACAAGAAAAAAAAAGAAACAGCAGCACCCCTCCATCCTGCCCCCCACCCCACCTCCTCCGGGTGCAGGTTTAATTCTGGTCCCTGTGATGCCCCATCCTGGCAGGAATTCTCCAGGGGGAACGTAAAATCTCAGGGTGCACAAAATGCGGCGTCTGTCACCCTGATCATGCTTGAACCTCCCCCTCTTCCAGGTAAACACTAACCTGACCTGGATCAGGCTCAAGCACAGCCCCAGTTCCCACCTGCAGCCTGTTCCTGGGGCACCACCACATTCCTGACAAGGTGCCAAAGGCCACAGCTGCACTGGCACAAGCACAGGGCCATCACTCCACCCAGCACCATCCCTTGTTTTGCTCCCAGATGTCCCAAATGCCTCCAAACATCCCCCACATCTGTGCCCTGGCCAGTGCCTGCCCCGAGGCTGTCACCCAACCCTGCAGCACCCAAACCTGAAATCCAGGAAGTTTTTCCACTGGAGTTTGCTGCACTTTTCCCTTTCATTTGTCATTTTCAGGAAGCAACAAACCCATCACAGTGCAARGGACAAGAAAGGTGATTTAAGGAATGTTTTACTCTCACACTCCTCACTTTACCCTCACAACCATCACAGCACGAAACAGATGCTCASAAATTAGTGTTCAGTAGCTGCCATTGAAATTTTAAGGGATATCAACAAAGCCTTGATGAAGTATTTGGAGAATTCCTCAACACASGTTTTCCTTCCCCATCTGTGTCAGCATCCAGCACAATTCCCTGTTCCCGTCTGGTCCCCAGAGCTGCAAGAGGAAATGTCAATCTTCAGCTTCACCTCCTTGGCGTTGCCTCATTAGTCCAGGAGACAATTAAATTGAAGATAATGAATCTGGTCAGTGGTAGAAGATCATCACAGGGAAGCATCAGCCTTGCCACAGGGTATTCCTGCTCCTGTAACCTGTTCCCTGATCAGTTACTACTTTCCAAACTCAGTTATTCCACCTAAACCACAGCAGCACAGCTTGGAGAGATAAAAATTTTCAGCCTCGTGTGAGTGAAAAGAGAAACATCACTGGGAAGAAATCCTGAAATTCAAAATCCTACTCCTCACTTCTTTAACTAATGAACCTCTTAAAATCCAGTCTGGATTGTGCAGGAAAGCTCCTTGGTCCTKCTTGGAAATTGATCTCCCCTAAAYATCTACAAAAGGCATTTATCAGTTATTCCAACTGATTCAATTAATTACTAAAGAAAAGAGAATACAAATAAACTGGAAMAACATTTGGCTCAAGTTTTCCTTGGGAATGAACTGGGAGCTCACCAGCAAGGCTGTCAGAGGGGCAGAGTGTGTGATATAAAATATGTATGTGCATATATATATTATATATAAATATATATATTCATACACACATATATAAAAATATCTATTATACACATTTATATCACAAAGTATCTATCTCACAAATATATAACCACAAATATTATTATATCACAAACTCTACCTATAAACCCCCACATTCCCCCGTTTTTAGGAATGTAACATTTTTAGGGATCCTAAAATCAAACACGTGCAGTGCTGTACAAAGGAAAATAAACCACGGTTTTATCCCATTAATTCCAAGATGTCTTCCTGGAYGTGCTGCTGGGTGTGTTTTCCTGTAAGCTCTTGTGGCTTATCCACAAAGTGCATTTAGAACTGTCAGGATCATGAAATCCATTTGGAATTTTACTGTCTCTGCAGTATCCAGTGCGATGARTTTTTCCAAAATTATTCCTCCCAGACTGAGCGCATCTCTTCAAGTTCCCTTTCGCTTTCTGCATCCTGGAAATGCAAGAGGGGAACAATGTATAGCTCAACTGAAACAAATAAAACACCACTTCTCTTTTCTCCAACCCCAAATCACCTTTTAGGCACATCGTAAAATCATGGAATCCTGATTGGTTTGGGTTGGAAAGGACCTTAAAGCCCATCCAGTTCCTGGGCAGGGATATCTTCCATTATTCCAGGTTGCTCCAAGCCCTGTCCAACCTGGACACTTCCAGGGATGGGGAATCCACAACCCCTCTGGGCCAGGAGCTCAGCACCCTCACAGGTAAGAATTCCCTCCTGATCCAAGTACAATCTCTCTCCGTTTGAAGCCATCCTCCCTTATCCTGTCATTCCAAGCCCTCTTAAAGAGCCTCACTCCATCTTTCCTRWYWGTTCCCTTCCAGCACTGGAAGGCCACAATTAGAGCACCCTGAAGCTTCTTTACTGCAGGCTGAACAACCCCAATTCTCACAGCAGAGGTGTTCCATCCCTCTGGATTTGCTCCATGTCCTCCCTGTGCTCGTGCCCCGAGCTGGATGCAGAGATCCAGCCGGGATCTCACCAGAGCAGAGGGACAGGACCCATTTTTGCTCCCTGCCCCTCACAGAATCCCAGCTGAGTGTTACCTCTTTGGTGCTCCCTGGCAGCTCCGAGGCCAGGTTCATCCACAGCACAGCTGCTGAGGCATTCCCAAGGTCCCTGTAGCACTGGGAAAGAAAAACAGCAACGGGGGAAGGGTTAAACGGGAAAAAAACAGTAGCAAATGTAACTGGGCAGCTGCTAAAAAAAGCTATTTGTGCCTGTTAACCATTTGCACTGACATTTCCTGCAGTATCCCTCACGCACAAAGCCTCAGAAGCATCACCAGATCTCAGAATATTAAATATATTTGACTCCCTTTCGTTTTCAGCAAGATTAGTTTTTGCTTGGACATTTTAAGGTGYCCCCATGGTTTGCACGACATTCAAAGCTCTACTTTGATTTGTAGTTAYTATTTACCCTCTTCCTCACACCATTTTCTCCACAAAAACTCTCTCCTGGGAGCACATTGTGCCCCAGGCTGTTAAAAATGTAGTAAATAATATTTACAGGAGTCTCAGGTCCCAAAATAGGTGTGAAATATTCTCCATGTGACCAGCAGTGGAGGCACAGTGATCCCCCTGGGAAAAGGAAGATTTTGGATGCCCTGAGAGTCTTGGGGGTATTTGGAGACCATGAAATACCCACAGGAAGAGGAAATGGTTACTAAAATCACCCAGAAAGAGGGCTCAAGATTCCCACTGGGACAGGGAAATGTAAATGTTTTATCCTTTATTTGTCCCCATGATTCTCTGCCTGTATCACCACAGAAGTTGTGGTGGTGAAAGATTAAACCTCCAGCCCATGGCTTCCAAGTCACCATTCCTGCTTTCCACAGAATTTCATCTGTTAAAAACCAGGGATGCTCCACTGGGTGACTCAAAGGCCTGAATTTCAAAGACCCTGCACAAGGTGATTTGGCCTGAAAAGATTTAAAAGATAAAAGGAAATATCATCTTATAAAATCTCATTTCTGCATGGAGTGTTTTCCACTTGGTCAGCACTTTATAGCCAAAAATKATTTTTAATACAAGTATTTCTTACCCTCTAAACAAGCAAGAAGTGAGTGGTTACCTTGGCAATGTAAATTCTTCCTGCTTTGGAAAATCCTGGGCTCAGCTCCTCGACCTACAGGAACAGAGAGAGGGTGTGACAGGGAAGACATTAGGAGATGCAAGGACACAGTTAATTTTTACATCAGGATTACTGCACCTCTCAAAGGCAAAAAAAAATAGATGGCAGGAGGGAAAATCCTAATAAATACACAAAGTGCTGTGCCCCTGAAACCTTCAAGCAGTTGTGTGGAAACATTTGAAATGGGAAAGTCAGCCAGTAAAATAATCAAGTAAAATATTGTGAGGAATTAAAACCAGAGGATGTATCTCCACGAGTGCCCCAGGGAGGAGCTCTCAGRCACTGAAGGAACAGCCCACATGTATTCAGTACTGAGCAAGGAATCACTGTACAGCCTTGGAAAGGAAAAGTAA